CAGTATTTATACGGACCCAGGGTAGCTACAATTCTGTTCCCAGGTATCGCGCGCATGAGGCTTCAAAGCTGTGGTTTTCTAGCTAAAATCAAGGTGGCCTGAGACCAGGGTTTGCTGCCCTAAAACACTCTGTTCAGGCCACCTTGAAAATGAAGGTCTGCGAAGCGAGAGCAAAGGAGTTTCCACCTCCTCGCTTCCCAGTCTTCCCAGGGTTCATATAGGGAGCCAGGCCATTTTCAGAATCTTCTGGATTTGAGCCGTTCGAGTTCCTATTGAAGGGTATATGTCACATTCAAGCAGCAGAAGGACAACATGCATCCTCTGCTCTCGCTTCGCAGACCGTCATTTTGAAGGTGGCCTGAACAGAGTGTTTTAGGGCAGCAAACCCTGGTCTCAGGCCACCTTGAATTTAGCTTGAAAAACTGTTTGTTTGAACAAAAGGGTGCATTGTTTTTTTTGTTTTGACATGGTTACCTATGTGTGGGCAGAACAAGACATGAAGCAGATTTGACACGCGGCCGCAAGCGGCTGCGCGAGCTCATTTGATTGCTTCGACGCGCAGTTGTCGAGAAAGGGAAGCGCTGGCTTTCGTTTTGCAGCTTCTCAGGTTTGTTGTGAACTCTAACCCTACTTTGTTCACGTTTCTTCATGCGCCTCACGCTTGTTCCTGAACAGCTCTTCACGTCCTGCCTCGTGCAAAGCATGCCTCAAAGCATCGGTCAGTGGCTGACCTGCCTTGCCTGCTGCAGATGCTTTGGTTTTCGCCCCAAGACACCCACCCTGTGACATCCGCGAGCGCAGAACCTCAGCCATGGCTTGAGAAGCGAACACGTGAGCCACAAGAACAGAGTTTGGGGGACGAAGACGGTACCCTCGGTGTCCGAGGTTGTCCGATGCTATTCCGGTTTACTTTGAATGACACCTATAGCCTATAGCATGAATTTCCCTCATTCGGTTGCATGGCGGAAACCCATAAGGTTTCCCCATGAGAAGGTTATTTATGCATGGAAATGACATCTCCCTGCAATCAGGCGAGAGTACACCTATAAGTCACGCACCTGGACCCGACTTCAAACATTATGGAAAATGGGACATGACATGACCCCATAAAAACGAGGTACGAACTGAGACTTTTGGCCCAGATCAACCATGTGTTGCATACACCACTCACAGCCTACTAATTACATGTCGCCCACTCTGACACTTCCGCCAGGACCATGCGCACCGAGAATTTAGGAACTCAGTCGCTGCCGGCCAAGACCTCAGCATGTGCCGAGCGGAAGTCTCCCGCCAAATGGTCGACCTGCCCCGAAAGGATTGCCACGAAGGGTTGTTTGGTTGTTTCCGTAGCATTTAAAAACATGTTTCAATTGGTGATGTCAGGTAAATTATTTCCAAAAGGGTCGAGGACCCTCCGATTGGGATGAACTGAACAGCTGCACTTGAACTCGACTGGAATCCCCAACCCATACGAGACGGAGGTATCTAGACCCTGTGGTATTGTTCTTGTGACTGCGCATGACCTCAACTTGGCAAAGTTTGCTGCTGCAACATTCTTATGTGTGTCAGACTTATCGTGAGCCATGATCAACTGAGTTGCAACAACAAACGGACCCTAGAAAGCTAAGCTGAAGGATTTGCAACTTAGAGTTTTCTGCTTGCCTCAAGTGGATGAATCAGGCATAATCAGGCAAGACTTCAATATGTGTTTTATTTGCGGTACTGAATATCCAATCAAGCACCTCCCATGGCATTTGCCCCGACCCTTCTCAAGGTCAAGGAGGAATTATATAGTAATACACTATAGTAAATATAATATATATGTAATATATATTATTCAAGCACATTCAAGCAAAAACCAATAAGAGATTTCGTTGGACGTTCTGCCATTCTCGGTCCCGATCTGATCCAGGCTGGGCAAAGTCCATATCGTCACCTCATCACCCCCTCGTGGCTGCCTCAGGTGGCGAGTGTGGTGTGTGAGTCAGAATTGACAATAAAAGGCCAGCGGCCTCAGGTTGTTAAGATCTTTAAGGTTTTCAGGTTACAATATGTTATGCTCTTTCACGGCGTTCATTTTTTGTTTCATCTTGATGCCTGTTCGCTTTTTATGTCACCATCAGTTTGCTGGATCAGCCTAGCGTGTTTCTTCCGACACCGGAGGTGCCAAGCGGGCACTCGGTCAGGAAGATGTAAAGTCTTTTCTGTTCCATTTTACTTAGTTCCATCAGACCTTCTTCGTTCGTGCCTTGGCTTTAATATATATATACATATATATGTTCTGCTCAACTATATCTTGGAGCGTGCACTGAAACTTGCACTCGAGTCATGGGCAGATCTGAGTCTCAGATTTCTGGAGATCACAACGTTTTGCACCGTATTCAATGGGTGTTTTGAGGGTTTGCTGATTTGGGAACACTGAGGAAGGTTGCTTTCAATAGAGAATGAAGTTTGTTCAATCTACTGTACTGTTTTATACAGTTTTCATGCAGGAAATTCTGGCTACATGGGGGGTGGGAGTCATGTGTCTCCTGAGGCCGAGTGGCTCTGGGAATCACCTGGAACCTCCAAATGGAAAGCCAGTGGAGAGGACACGACCGATGGCCCCGGAGGATGGAGTTCCTCCAACTAGGAATCCCCAAAGGCCCTGTTTGGAACCCTGTTTTGTTGTCGAGAATGATATTATATATATATACAATAATACATATAAGCCTATTATATATATATATATGTCATAGATATTCCAGCAGTGATTTGTCTCTGATCTCACAGGTGGGACACGGTTTCCTGCCTTGTCCGATTTTTTTGTCGCCAGGACCGGTGAGCCCATCTCTCCTGCCTCGGCCACACGGTGGAAGTGGAGTTTTCAACTGGAGGAGATTCCTTCGACCAACAGGAACTGTGAAATGGACCGCTGGTGGCCCTCAAAGAGTCTTTTCCTTATACAATCTGACGAACACATCACATGGAGGTGGAGGAAAGTACACCATTGGAAGACTATTTTCCTCTATACCAACAGGGGATCTCCACTTCCCTGTGAGTGAGTCAGAGGGTTTCGATT